ACAGAGTAGTTGAATCTCTTACTCATGATCTTTTAAATGGCAACAAATGGTGTGATTTGAATCGCATGTCTATCAATGTTAACAAAACTAAGGTCATGTATATTTCCTCAAAACACAAGCAAAATTATATGTATGAAAGTAATTCTTGTATTTCATATAAAACAGAGCAAATTGTTTGTAGCACTGGGTATTACCATAAATTACACCTTATCTTGGAAAAGTCATATTGATAATGTTCTCATTGTTACATTTATCATCTCGTATAAAATTATTCATATCTATACCTGTACGTAAAATGTTCTACAATGCATATATTTTACCACATCTTGACTAATGGTGCTTCATTTACGGGACTTGTACGTCTTTTCTAGAAGATAAACTCACTAAGTTCCAAAAAAGATCTGCACGAGTAATTCTATAGACAAAGATTATGAACTTTGTCTGAACTGCTGGATGACCTTTTCACAGAGGGTTGTTTTTCAAAAAGCTATTATGATGTTTAAAATAATGAATAATCAGGCACCTTCCTATTTATTGAATAATTTCATTTAATCGTCAGATGTTTATACTCGCATTTTGCGTTCATCATCTGATTTTCAACTTTATACCCCTAGACCAAATACTGAACAATTTCGTAAGTCTTTTGTTTATTTTGTATCTTGTATTTGGAACGGCCTTCCTGATTATATTAAGTCTGCTACATCTGTGAACCATTTTAAAACATTATACTTGAGGTTAATATCACACGTTGATGTATACAAATTGTTTTTACATTTATGTATTTTAATAGTTTGAATATGTTAAATTTATGTTGTTCCTTGTTGAGGGCCTCATGGAAGATTGATATGTTTGTTCAAATGAGTTCTTTTGTTAAATAAAGTCATTATTATTATTTTTATTATTATAATAACATTTGGTGAAAAGTTGCTACCATTTTATCATCGCAAAAATAGTTTTACAACTACCAATAATAGTCAAAAGAGTTTTTTGCTATATATTTGATGTAAGGAATGAACATTGTGAGAGCATATAAGAAACTGTTATTTAAACTTTTTTTTTAACTACCGTGTTGCGATCGTTAAATTTCGCCACAATTTGTGTTGATTACAATTTGTAATCATTACATTGTTTTTTAACGATGGTTTATGAAAATGAACGAGTACAGCTATTTTATAATCATCACTTGTAATGTATGTGTACTATGTATTTAGAGCAAGGAAATATGCGCATTTCTTAACAGTTCCTTTATATAATTTATCTGTCATCATCGTTGTCGTCATCATCGTCCTCCTCCCATCCTTCCACCTCCTCTTTATCATAAATATCATCATTATTGTTATGTTCTTTTCTAACACAATTAGTTCTTTGATTCCTGGAGCTGTTCAGATGTAGGGGATACGATGACATACAGCATAGTTTCAGGTAACATACTCGTATAATTTTGAATTTATTTATTTCACTTCCAATAGGCTAATAAGCCCATGAGGACAACATATTACAAACATACTATATATGACATGACAGAGTAATGCATGATAATGATAATAATACATTTCTTTTTCAAATATTTGAAATATAGGAGAAGGTTGAAACTCAACCTTAAAAAACAATTATTCAATACAATACATTATAATATATATGCAATCATGGGAATAGAACTCCAATTTTTAATCAAGCTTTATCGAAATCGAAAACAAAAGAGAAAAGGTCAACTCATTGGCTATTCGTGAAACATCATCATCAAAATAACAGTAGATTGATTCAAATATCATTAATTATATTTTTTCTCTTTGAAACTTTTAGTATTGAATTTTATACCTTGAAAGGAGTAATATTTCCACTGTGCTGTGGCAACCAAAAGAAGAGAAGAAGAAAAATGCTGAGATATATACATTATTTTACATGTATCATTGCCCGTACATAACGTTATTTCTAATAGCAAAAGCGTTGTATACATATATTCCTGAATTTCTAATAACAGTTTTGTTATCAGATTTAATCAATTCTAAAAACTTAAACGTATTCGGTCTATTCCAATAGTATCTTGGTATATACATATCATTGGTATATCATTGAATTGATATTAGAAATCAGTAACAAATTAATTACAAATTTCATATTTCAAATATATTTTCCAACGAGTTATAGCTTATTGAATTATCCAAATAATTAGGTCATCTATTTAAGCCAAGATTATTTTTCAAATCTTCGATAATTAATTTCAAACATGGAGTACTAGTTAAGGGAAAGAGATATACTACGAATATTGTTGACTAAAAAATCAAAAGCCTTTCTTTCAACATCTTTCGTTCATTTCATTATTTTAAACTTGCGTCTTTGAATCTTTTGTTTCATTTAGTCAGTCCAAATTTGACATCAGCATTTACTATTGATTCTTCAACCGGGACTGTCTCACTTTTACGCACTATATCGTCAGCCGAAGTTCCAAACAGACAGTTTATGCTAGATATTGCTGTTAAAGATGCCATAAATCAAACGGTACAGTCATATTTCTGCTTGTTTTCCAATCTTTCCAAGTTTTTTTTTGTCCTTAACTCCATGCATGTCTGTATTTTAAAATATATGTTTGAGCGCTTGATAAAAAAACACACAAAAAACAACAAAAACAACATTAAATTGAAACAATTTTATTCGTACGATTGTTTACAAAAATCCAATAAATAAACATGAAACATACTATTAACATTCCTCTTTTATTTGTGATGACATTTATAACAATCATACCTTAAGTTGTTTATTATTTCATAAGCGTATATATTGAGGATAAAGTAAAATGATTTTCGTAAACCAAAGGTAAGAATATGATTTTCTAATTTGCAGGTTACATTCAGTATATAAATGAACGTTACCACCATATCGTGTCTTGCAAACCCAAGGAATTTGTATGTCCGCATGGATCAAGGTAAGTTGTATATTTATCCAAAATAGGCTTATGGGCTTCTCTGTATGTCTCTCATCGTCGGATACCCACTGTTGATTAACATGATAAATGTTAATAGTTCGGCCGTGGGTATCCCATCATGCTTCATAAAAACAAAGAGCAATATACGGTTTATAGCCATATGATAAAAGTATAATATTTTGTAAATTATATAAATCAATGTTTATGTCTATATAGACTAAAATTCTTTCAAACGGAACAAGAAAAAGGGCATTAAATTGTATGACTAAGATATAGACCTGAAAAAAACACTGAAAAAAATATATTTACCCGATAGCCTAACCTACTAGAAAACAGGAACTATTTAGATAAATTGTATATACCTTATAAATATTTCATACCTGAGGTTTATTTACATTAAAATATAAATGTTTTGTAGAGTTGGGTGGAGTTATATTAGATAATTTTAACTGCACTGTCACTAGTGGTCTGACGTTCTCCATGACGCAATATCCGGTTGGTACTTTTGAAATCAATGAAAAATCACAACTGGTTTTAAGAGGTAAGGTTAAGGTCTGTACTAAATCACAACATGGCTGTAAATTTATTAAGAATTTAACTTAAAAGGGAGATATTTTACAAACAAATTGCCCAGGTATAAATAGTTAGCAACATCTTTCAGAGCAACAATGAAACAAATAGCAAATATCGTTTTAGAATGAGAAATATGCTTATTACAGTAAACACTTTTTTGTATTTTGATTCCACTCCCTCTATCCAGGTTGTCTGGTCAATCCCCGTACCAGTTACCCATCCTCTCTCCCTTACTGATGCATATATACTGTTTTTTAAATTGATACTTATTTTCAAAAACGTCATTACCTTTTTCTTTCAGCCTCCGTGGTGAAAATAAAATTCTACAGCCTGTCAGTTACAATAACACATGGTTCGGAAGAAGTTTTTCTCAAGTTTCAAGTTATCATCCAAACAAGACGGTGCGGCGTTGCCGGGGGAATTTCACATCATTTACAACAGAACAAAAACGAAATTATTTTGTTCGTATGTTGCTGGACAATTTTATGGAAATTCTTTTACACCGATTTTCTTTTTACATAAAAATATGAGAAGAAATTTATTATTGTGACTATATTCTTGACGAGGTGTTTACCTTACATTGAAAGTATATCTTATTGTTTTAATTGCAATTGATTTAAAACACGGTAATACTTTATAGTAGCAGCCTAGCCCGTCATTTTGTAGTTTAAAAATTTGATAAATTAAGCTAAAGCAAGTTTAAAAAAGTTATGTTTTTCTTAGCTAGTGTATATGAGTACTTAAATCCTATAATTGATTTATTTTGGAAACAAACTTGATTTTGCACTGTCATAATGAAACTAATTAATGCAATAATGTATTATGGGCAAGGGACTTTCATTGTATAAGTTTGAAGTGATTGATAGTAAAGGAATGACAAGAACCATTATTCCTGTTATTGTTCTTTTCTCCACTGTGGCTTCTAGAGCATTTAAGATAGCAAATTAACCACTTGTTCTACTTTCTTTGTATCCGACTTGATCATGTAATCTGAACATATATGTACATAATTGAGTAGCTCAAAATATTCGTAATATATTCGTTACAACTGCAAACATCTCAAAACATATCGTCAAATGATAAGATCTGAAATTTCCTTGCTATTATTCTTCTAATTGCACTCGGGAATTTAGTTATTGTAAGCATATATCAACTTGCAAGCTAGTGCTTCGGATGTTCCGTAATCAAATAAGCGTGATTCACGAAAGGAATCTAAATATATATATTTACACATTTATTTTTCTGTCTACAATTTTCCGCTCATGACTTTCTTTCATTCATATTTAAATAAACATATATGTTAACTTGAAACTTAATGAAGCAATTTGGAGTCGTCATATAACGAACATGCATGGTCGTGACCGAACCTACTATCACTCAGCTGAAACAATGGTGACTAAACCACTGAGAATGTTAGACGTTAAGAGGAGATAATTATCTGAATGCCGGTCAAGCTGACCTTTTACCTAAAAACATCAAATGTATTTATAACATATTTGAATGAAATATTTAATGAACATGTTAAGAAATTATATGGAACTTTATTGGATGAAGCCATTGATACAAACACCAATTGCAGACATAATGTGATGAGCATTATTGTACCGAATGATATGATCAATTTACTTTACAAATACAAGTAATTTAATAAATATAATTCTAAACTGAAATAAATTACATCTAGGATATTCAGAAATGAATACTAGTAAATGAGAATTGTTGTCGTTGTAATTATAGTTAAATGTGCTTCGATAATTAACGTACGTGTAAATATGCATGTTTTATACAAAAACCAAATTTTCAGAATAATGAACTTGGTCGCTATACAACTTATTTTCAGAACAGATACGGATTCCTTTTAAAGGAATATCATCTTTTACTGTTTGCACATTTTACTCTCACAAGAACACAACTATCATGCCAAACTAAACACCTTAACAATATCCTTATCGCCCTGTGTAACAAGCAGTTTCTTTTCACGTGGTTCGTATGCAACAGCACGTGGGTACGAGATCGATTCTCCTGTCACGAGGACTTTTACTCTTTTACCGCATGGAGAAATCACGTGTACGCTATTTGACGTGGTACCACATACGTATTTATTACCTTCCTGATCTAAAGTAATTCCCCCTGCACTTCCTAAGTCTATTGCCGAGTAGTTAAAGTTTAACTCCCCAGTTTCCTTCAAGTTTACAATACAACCCAGGCGATCATCCGACACCCATATCTGCTCGGCTTTAGGTGTACATGTGACATACAGGGGCTTAGAGAACAGAGTAAACCCGTCGTCATCAACGCATACGTACGTTAACTCTTGCCCTGTGGGAGACAGGATTTTCAAATTGGGCGGATCTCCGTCATAGGTGACAGTGAGGAACTTCCCATCAGTGTAACATATACCAAAACATGGTTCATCGGTTGGAATGGATCGAGTCTGGGTTAGGTAGTCCCCATCAACACTAATGAGTTGAATCCTGCATTCCGCCGGTAGCGAAACGGCGACCTCTTTATCGGTGACAAGTGCTATATCCCATGGCTTGGATGATAGAGGAAATTCTCTTATAGGCATGAAATTGCTTGTAAACAGCTTAAGCTTCCGATTTGTTCTGTCTGCTAGTAATATGCGACCGTCTGATAAAAATCTACAAATAAGCGTTATATTTATTACAATATTTAATAAATTTAATTATTTCATTTTAAATGATTGTGTAACAGATTTTTAAGCTCAAAACCGTTATCATATTCTAGGAGTAATTCAAATCATAGATAAATTCTAGGTTTTTTTATTCTGGTATATGTCTATATGTATCCGTTGCATTCGTCTAAAGACGTGTAAAATATGATTTTCAATGAAGGAAATAAAAACATATGCTTACTTCGCTCCAGTAAACCAACAGTCTTGAGTGTCTTCCTCAAATCTTGCACAGAATTCACCTATCTCGTTTGCATTTTTACCAGACAGTGTGAACTCTGGTTTAACTGCCTTTGTCTTAGTCGTTGAACTCTGGAGACCCAACGTTGCTGCAAGTTTTGGTGCTGGCGGGAGTTTTGTAGCGGTAGTATTAACATCGATACGACCGAATTGATTCAGTCTCTTCATCACTTGCTGCAATGAGTTATCTAGGGCAATATCGTAGTCGACCGTGCGCATGCGCGAACAGAGTATCGAAATACTTTCTTCGTAATATTCACACTCTCCTCGGACTTTCTCGGTCATTTCAATGATCTGAGAATTTGATCCGTGATTGTCGGCGACAGATAGAATTTCATTTGTATTTGTAACGGCTGACTGAATTTCTTTGCATTTAGTGATATCTTGCTTGATTTTCTTCGTCTCTTGCCGATGTGTAGAGTCTAATATCGTGTTGAGATCTTTCTCCATCTTCTCGAGCTGAGATATGATGTGTTTCTTAACATTTACAAACTCTCCCATTAATTTTGACTTCTTGTTATCTAACTTTTTTAAAAGATTGGACCGATCCTTATGTACGATATCCATATGAGATTTGTATTTGTCCAGTGCATTTTCTAAAGATGAAATATTTCCACTGGTCTTACTTTTTAGCGCTGCTTCCGCAACTGTGACAACACGGTCACACTTCCTGTGATTCTCAGTCAAACATTGCGAACAGCAGAGAGTGGAATGAACATAACAATAGTGCTCTTTCAGTTTTCACTGTCGTTAATAACTCTCCTCTACTTTTAAAGAATTTTAGCATCGCAAATCTGAGCGTTTGTTGAACCTTTGGTTATCGACGCTTCGTAACCCTTTATGTGTCTTTGCACATGGTTCACACATTGCATCTCGACAACTTTTGCAATATGAATGAACCTGAGATGTCGACTTGTTGCGTTTACAGGGGTCGCAAACTTTGGTACCGACTTTCATTGAATGTAAATCTACAAGGTCTGCAAGTAGATTATTCTCTGGGAATAATTCAGCCCATTTGTCAGGCGATGTTTTAGGCAACTGCGGCGTTGTAGTAAATTTCTTACAGCACGGACATGGGAATCCCTTCGAAGTTCCCTGGAACTGAACATTGCCAGATTTGGACGATGCTCCATCGATTGGGTCACGACTCGTTTTTGGCACTTGTCGCGTTGGTGACTTTGACTTGGTTGGCGACTTAGCTTTCGTTGGTGATAATCGACTTTTACCATCAGCTATATTGCTCTGGCCAGTAGGACTTGAGTTGGTATTTGCAGTTTTACTACCTGATGGCCGACTCTTAGCATCGGGAAGATTGTTTTGATCGGTAGGACTTGTGTTTGCACTTTTACTGCCTGTACTTTGGTTTACCGGACTACTGTTCTTTGTCTTCTTATCTACCGTTGATTTGTCATAGCGACCATCTTTTGAGCCTTCCTTTACGTAAGTTTCTAAGCATGTCAAACAAAACGAATGGAGACATGGCAAGATTCGTGGGCCAGTAAATGTTTTTGAACATAACGGACATTTGATGTAATTGTCTTTGAATTGGTAAGGTGACCGGCTCATTCTATAAATCTGTAAAAGAATAAACATAAAGGATGATCTTACTTCTCTAAAATATATTTATATTTTGTAGGTTATACAGAATGACAATTATATATTTTTATAATAAAACAAAATAAGAAAAAGGTGTATAATATGACAATAGGTCACTTGAAATAATGAAAAGAATATACAGATTTTGCGATTTATGTGTGTTTAGATTTTGTGTCTCGTTAACATCATGCAATACATAGTTTGTTTTTATTTAATGAAAAAAAAACAACAACAAACAAACAAATTAAAAAAACCGTCATATAGTTGTGTCAAATATATAGTATAATACGTATAACTGTGAAACAAAAAGACAAAAAACACAAATTAATAACGATCTACGGTATATAAATAAAAAAACAAACTATATTCATTTTTAAGAAGATATCAATTCTTACCTGGTGCTTTCCTACTCAATTCATTTTCAAACAATCAAAAAGAAAATATTAAATATTTGGTATGTATTTGCCTAAACATCGTCAAGTGTAAACTAAATTGAATATTAATTGAACGCACATGGGAACGATGTAAAGAAACGCGGATAAATAAAACCATTGAAAAGATGCGATCGTCAAAGCCGACGTATATATGACACCGTATTATTTTCTTTACCCATTCGCCGTGCTATTTCAAAAGCGGATCAATACATTAAATGCGTTTAAAGGTGGCTCAATTGAAAAATGCATATTCTTATTCAATATTATTAGAAAATTAAAGAAAATGTCTATCAAAATAGTGTTTTGATATAAAGTTCTCGTCCCAGGGTTTAATTTATTTCAAGCTCGCTGTGTGTTTAAATTTTATCTTGATTTAATGTAATACGCATCGTTTGATGTGGATAGTTTAGAATGGGCAAATTTTCAATAAGTTTTTTCAAATATTGATAAAAACAGTAGAAATGAAATATTTGGATATACTTACAAAATATTCATTGACCAAACTCTAAAGTGATTTTGTATGAGCTTATAATTATAATTTTTTACTTATAATTATAATGATTTGATAATATTTTGTTCTAGAGCACTTTATTATTTGCTATACAAAAAAAAGGAAATGAAATGCTATATAAGTACATACAATGTATATATAGTCGGATCATATATTCCACCCTCACCAACAGTAAACATATATAACTGATCATGGTTTGTTGTCATGTATGATACTAAAGACTATCAACATAATTATGTATTGTAATACAGACCTTCTGTTATAAACCAATTCACTTTAAGATATGATAAAAGTCCATTTATTACATCCTTAATGGAAAGTCACAAATAACTCGGAGAAGGTGTTTTTCTATAATAAATACATAATAACTACATACTGGCTTATTATTTATTAAACAAATCATAGAAATGTGACGTGTTCTTTTATTACTTTGAAATATACACTATCTATTATTTAGTTAGTAAATGGTTGATATGTCACTAGCGCCAGTAAAGATGAGTATTAATGTCGTCCACGTTATCAAGGCACTGCCCGGCTAGTCTGGCATCCATGCAGTTTGGCGAGACTATATCTACTGCAAATTGTCAGATCTTGTTGTTAAAGCGATGGAGCTAACTCAAGTAATTATTGGGGAATTACGTAAATACATGTCAATAAGAATATTTTCTACCACTCTTCGAAATAGAATTGATAAATAGTGTGAATATAATGATGTCTTGAATTCATAATTTGGCTTCAGAGATAAACATTTAGTACTAGTGGTTGTATATTTTTGTTATATATATTGATTTAAAATATTTTATTGAACAAATCTAAATTAATTGTGTTTTTATAGATTATGAAAAGGCTTGCGACACGGTTGTTTGTGAAGCTTTTTTTAAAACTATGTCGATCGTATATAAGCTGCAAAGTCATTTCATTGTTGAAATCCATTTATACGCAAATGTGATATCATTCGCCCGATTTTGTTCTGTCAGTATTGGTTTAAAGCAAAGGAAACCAATCTTATCCGTACCATTTAGTTTGTTCCTCAATACTAAAATAATTGTTTAGATTGATCTCATAGTGATTTGATTCAGTTATTTATATGTTGATTTTTGCGGATAACATTTGTTTATTTAGGAAACATGCAGTCAAACTTTATTGTAGTTATCAATACTATTAGATTAAATGGGGCCTAAAGATTAACATCAAAAAGTCCAGAGTATGTGTTTTTGAATGGTTTATTACTGGTGAGAAATTAGAAATTGTAGATAATTTTTGATATTTAGGTGTAAACTTTATTTACTCTGGAAATATGAAAATTGCTGTTACAGTGCTCTCTGATTAAGCTGTCAAAGTATATCAAAGTCTTCTGTCATTATTTAGCAGAGTAAATCTTGATGTTAAAATTTAACTTTCACTTTTTGACTAACTCTATGATTCTACCTATTTCATTGCACGCTGCAGAGATTCGGGCGTTTGTGAATCTAAAGATACACTTAATTAAACGTAAAAAATATTTGAATATTTTAATTTCAAAAGTCAAACTAGAATAAATGAAATTAAGTTTCTCATGTAAAAACATAATTTCAAACTTGTAAGATTAAAATAAATTGTATAAAAATGAAGATATTGATTTGAAATCAAAATTGAAAAAAGACTACTCAGGTGTTTTTAAGAAATAAATGTATATTCTTTATAAGTCAAGTACAAGTTTTCTTGATAATCCGTGAAATAAAACTTTAAACTGGTGCCAACCTTCGTTTTTATTGCATTTAAAAGTAATGATGCACTTAGATTTTAAATCTATGACCCTTCATTTTCCTTGATAGAGGATCTTTAAGGAAATAAATAAACTACATCTTACATTTTGTAAACATACTTTAATTCGCGGTATTAGGAGAATTTGGTCGGTTAAAGAGAGAGCATTGAATTACTGGATAAAAATAATGAGTAATCAACACATGCCTATAATATGTATAGAATTTTTGGATAACAATGTAATTTTCAGAACGAAAATTCTTGGTCAAATATAATTTAAACATTACTTGAAAGTTTTGGTTTCAGTGATATATAGTTATTTCCTGTATTTTGAAGCAAAGGTTACGAGATCAGTATATTCTAACGAAATATTGGAGATTCATAATTTAGCTAAATTTGAATACTATAAAAAAAATATTTATACAACTTAACTAATAGTAAACAAAGAGAGCTCTGCACTAGTTTTAAGATATCAGCACAAAGTATAGATATATAAGTTCTCAAACATAATGTGCAGCATACAGTGTTAAAAGGATAAACACGCAACATTCTTCACGTTTATTCAGTAACAATGAAACATTAAAAATAAGATAAATGCCTCAAACAACACATTTTTAAATCTTTAAAATAAAAACTTTAATTAATGCCCAATCACATTACAACTCACCCCCACCTACCCCCGCTGCAAACCCATTCCTTAAAAAGTGCATGTACATAAAACTAAAATTAAAAACAACAACAACGAAAAAACAACAAAAAACAACAACAACAAAAACACAAACAAAACAACCCAGAGTTAATGCAATCACTAAAAAAATATTTGAGAACATTTTTCATTTTTTTTGTTTGAAAGGTTATATTGCCGAGCTGTAAACGGTTAATTAGTTTAAACCTGACAGTTATTTTCATATCCTATATTTTAGGCAACAGACTACACTTTCTCTGAAACAATAGCATCAATCCTTTTTTTGAATTTGATTGTAATGATATTGCGTACATTTGTTTAATCAAAATATTGTTGCAGTCGTAACAAAATTATTTTCAATATAATGTCATAACAGTTACTGTATACATATGAAAAAAATAATTTTTATACAATGTCATATCTTTATACATGAATACATTAAAATGATGTCATAACTGTAAACAGCAAAACAAACCATTTTCAAAATAATGACATAACTGTGCAAAATAGAACAGATCATTTCCAATATAATGACATAACAGTGAGCAACAGAAAAAAACATTTTCAAAACAATGTCATACCTGTCCGCATTTTCATCAATCGTTTTTAATAGAATAAAACAATTACACACAACTGGATATCTCTTTTTTAGTGTCATACCTTTATGCAAGCAATAAAAAGTTGGTATTGAATAAGTGTAATTTAAATACTAAATTTATTGAACTGGCATGATATTATTTTATTCAACGAGTTCAACAAATTTAGAATTGAACATTCACGAATATAAACTCAAAAGTAAAGTATGTACAAAAGACTCATTTTTCATTTGCGCGCCTATAGTGTAACGTCTTCACACTAAAGACATCAAGTCAAAATATATGCAATATCATTTTTACGGAGTTGTAAAATCGGCAAGAATATGTGATAAATCACTACAACATATTTTAAACATCTTTTTTAACAGTTCTAAAAAGAATAAATATATTTCAAAATAATGCTATTATACAATACATGTATACACAGCAAACCATATGATTTCCATCAGAATGCCATATGTGTACGCATCAACTAATTTTTAAGTCAATGTTATAAATGAACATAAATGAACGTATCATTTTCAATACAAATGCACATTATCTAAATGAATCATTTTCAAAAAAATAAAAATTAAAAAAATCGTATTCACGACGTTTTCAATAGTCATTCAAGGAGAGAATTAAGACAGATATTAACATAATAATCAACTGTTTCTTGTCGAAGGCAATCATTGCGCTGTTTATACCACATCTCTTTGTCTGTACAATGACCTTGAATCTTAAATTTGCAATGTCAACACCATCTGTTATAACGATGCTCAAACTGTAAAATTTGATCTTTACCACTGGTGCTATGAAAATGAAGGGAAAAAAGAGAATTTAGTTATAAAGATCCTGTATCTTGAAATGAAGGATATAACAACACTTAAGTGAAATATTTTATATGTATATAATTATTCTTCTAAGACAACATTAAATAATATGTTAGTTATGTACTGCAAAATTAAAATACATGCGTTCACTTCTTATTGAAAAATTTGGCATAGACTTTGGTTTATACAGATTTTTTTTAGTTCGATTTTGTAGGAATCTATAAGCTTATAGACACTCTTTCGAATCCGTTCCTGGAACTAACCAGTACTGAGCAATGAGTTTCTTGCTCAAGGAAACAGCGACTTGCCCCTGACGGGGTTTGAACCTATGCGGCTAGCGATCATTAGATTACTAGTCGGACGCGTTAACCACTCGGCCATACCGCCATTTTTTGGGCTTAGGCTTTATCGAAAATAAATTTCTAATTACCTCCATTTACTTACATGAAGAAATGTAAATGTGATTATATCTTTACAAATAATGCTTTTTGGAACTTACAATATTAATAAATCTTCATTTGCGAAACATATTTATGTCATAAAACCATACACAATTTGAATTACAGGATCTTTAACTTATAGTAAAATTGGCACATGCATGTGAGAACTAACAAGCGCACTGGTAGTAAGTTATATTTTGTGCACAATGAGCAAGCATTAGCATAAAAAAGTATCATAAGCATTCCATAAAGCTGCATGCCCCGGATGAGCTCAAATATTTCAAGAAAATCAAACTTGAAGATATTGAGATAATAATTTAAGAAAAGTAAAAGTATACACACTTCAAGAAAAAATTTACATGTTCTTTGCAATTTATGACCGATATTGCAATATTTATCACCATTTTCTATACTGTGTGTCTAATCCAGTCAGGATTTTTTCTTCGCATATTCGCAGACCTTTTTCTGGTAATTTATCATAGATTTAAGTGCCGTTTGTAAATAACTTCATTTGTTCACTTAACAATATATTACTTTTTCTTACATTTAAAAAAGTCATAAAAAATTGCAAGAATTTGGAAGCATACTGCTTAACACATTCTAACATTTTATTCCTATAATAGGTTTACTGTTCAGACACTCAAATGACGCAATCAGTCATCAAAGAAGTAAGAAAATTAGTAATAAATTGAAGTATTGGATTAATAGGCCATCAAAAGAAAGAAAATTTATAATGAAGTGAAGTTTTCGATCAATAGGCCATCAAAAGAAAGAAAATCAATAATTAAGTGAAGTATTCGATCAATATGCCATCAAAAGTAAGAAAATTAATAATTACTAAGTTAAATATTGGATTAATAGGCCATCAAAAGAAAGAAAATTAATAATGAAGTGAAGTATTCGATTAATAGGCCATCAAAAGAAAGAAAATCAATAATTAAGTGAAGTATTGGATCAATAGGCCATCAAAAGTAAGAAAATCAATAATTAAGTGAAGTATTGGATCAATAGGCCATCAAAAGTAAGAAAATTAATAATTAATAAGTGAAATATTGGATTAATAGGCCATCAAAAGAAAGGTAATTAATAATAAAGTGAAGTATTGGATCAATAGGCCATCAAAAGAAAGAAAATTAATAATTAAGTGAAGTACTGGATCAAAACATTTGCACTTAATTACCTCTCAAAAGTAGTAACGCAGTCCCATTAGAAGCACTGTTAACTTCAAATGTGCCCGCTGGGTATTGTGTCAGTATGTAATCTAGGCCATATTTACTGGTACAGTTGAACCCATTTGAAAGTACGGCACCATCTCCTGAATATATACAATGCACATCAATTTCATTATAATATTTTGTTAATTTATTAGCAGGTTATCCGAACATATGGTCATATGGTTTACTCTCAGTTCTTTTTTACTTGGTCAGTTACTTGTAAAATCCGTTGATACCCCCCAGCCCCCCCCCCCCGAAAAACAGAGTACTGCGCTCCCAGCAAACACATGACGTTAAAATAACGTCGGATTAACGTTAGATTTTGGTCACGACGTCGGCGACCCAAAATACGACGTAAATCTGACGTTAAAAAAACCGATGTCTTTCAGACGTTTCTTTTTGACGTCGTACTTACGTCAGGTTCTGTTCGGTGTCCAGACGGTAGGTAAAAAATTAACCAAAAAAAATCCTTATTCGCTGTTGTAATCATTTAAACTTTTTTCAAATGTTATTTGGCTTACAAATGAAGTGTGGGCTGCATCCTAATAAAACATATAGGTGGCGTTGTATGCAGGCAAGTTACATGTGTTCTTGTTATGAAATATATTTATAGCTACAGATCTGTTTACGATTCCAATCATTTAACATTAAAATATTATCATTTGTGGTACATTATATGTATCAAAATCGGCGAGTTCTTAATAGTGCTTTAACATTTAATCATAGTGTCAGAAAAGGGAAAGAAAAACATAATTAACCTATAATTCGCAACTACAGCCACGTGGGTGGAAATTCAAATTCGTAGGCGTTACGTTTTGGCTGTCGGTCAGGAATTGGGATGCATTGATAAAGTGAATATTTTAGATTTTTCTTGAACAAAAGGTCAGTTCCATTTATTTAAATTTATTTCTACTTTGTATTTGATAAATAATTGCATGATTGCAAGCATTTTTAAATTTAATTATCATTATTTGAACAGTTGAAGCCAAATGTCACACAATTTCGCGATAATGTCTGATAATAATTTTTTTCAAATTTGACATGTTTTAACTCTGCTTGTGAAATGTTTATAATGTGCCTTTCAATACTACCAAAGAGAATGCTTAGTTTTCTTATTTTTCTTAAACTGTGATGTTTTTGTCGGTTAAAATCTGAGAATTGAGAATGAATTTGAAACTTTGAAAAATTTAAAACTTGAGTAACTGCTCTATTTCAAACGTAGAATATACATACATGAAATTTAGAATATAATTTTATAATTTTCAGGTAGATCTAGCTCCAAGTGTTGGACATGCTCTCAAAGGTCGGAGGGTCAGAAACACGTGATTATGTAAAAAGAAACATGGCAAAGTAAGATTTTTGTAAATTCTATACTAAACTGGAGTTTTAAAGCGGCCTTTTAAATTTTCAGTATTCGTGTTTAGTGTCAATTTTTGTTAAAGCTCTCTTATAAAAAGCTAGCAAAATTGTTCATTAGGTTAAGATAACTTTCAAAATTTCTAAAGGGCGGATAACCATGAAAAACATTTTAGCTTGTTTTTTTTTCCATTTTTCATAAATTTCTTTTTTTTCAGTGAAAATGATATTACAAACGCTATTGGACATTAACATATCCTCCGGACAGACGAGGGATGGTTAGAGAAGGTCATATCTAAAAGCATCACACCTCTAAATTCGTGACAATTCTCATGGATATTTAAAAGTATATTCTCATGGATATTTAAAAGTATAACTTTGTGAAGTAACTAAAAGGAAGTAATTGATACCTTAGTGACAATTATCAAAAGGAGGTCAAAATATGCAAAATGTCACTATATGTTTTAGTAATGCTGTAGAAATAAAGTTAAAATACTGAAAATCTGTCATTAATTGCTTGAAACAATGTTATCCGAATCTTTTAACTTTTCTTAAAATTATAATATTTTCATTATTTTGTTTGATAAGGCAAACTTTGATAGAAATGTACATACATTGTTTTGTTCTTTAATATTTGTATATGTTTTCTTAGTTTCATTTATGTCATTGTTTTTGTAATACTTTTTGTTTTGTTATTTACTTATTTTAAGTTTTATTTTGTTTAATTTATGAAAAGTATTTAGCCTTGCAGAATTTACTAAAGATGTATGTATCAGCTTAAAATTGGAACATTTATTTTAAATAAAAAAAACCATTAAAACATTTTATTGCTTTTAGTTTTTTGTTATACATTTCATTGGATTGAAAGTTACTTAATAGAATGAGTTACATTAAATTCGATCAAATCAGGATTAGCCAGAAAATATTTATAACGTGGTAAAACCAAAAGGATTAGGGGAATGATCAGATTAAACTCAGAAAATAGTCAGATTTAGGGCAGAAAACGGTTAAGATCTAGGTCGGAAAATGGTCGGAAAATGGTTAGAAACTGGTTACATTTAGGTCGGAAAATAGTCAGATTTAGGTCGGAAAATGGTCAGATTGAGGTCGGAAAATGGTTAGAAACTGGTTAGATTTTGGTCAGAAAAAGGTTAGATAATGGTTAGATGCTGACGTCTACCTGACGTCAGATAATTACGTCAAAAAAACTTTCAAATCCAACCGTTTTTCCGACCGTCATCCGACGTCAAAACCTGACTTAAATCTGACGTCAGTATGACGTCTTGTGTTTGCTGGGCTATGTTGAATCTATATCTTCTGCAACGTCAGAGGTTACAAAAAACGTTCCAAGCTCAGTCTAAGATTTCGTTTATTTCATTGCACAGACCAATGAAAAACCTGAGAGACAGTAAATAAAGTCAAATGAACATGATTATTCTATGATAAACACAATCGGCTCTCGTGCACTTTTCAAGAATTACACTCGGTCCGTCTGCCTTTTGACACTGTTTAAGCGACACAGACGTAGACAAATCCAATCGGATACACATGTAGAATACACGTGCATGATTGAAATTCTCTTTCAAAAGCCTTATTTCATTTCAGTTCTCATTACCAAGCTTTACATTATATATGGTATCTGCTAAGTACAAATGAATACAATGTGTTTGTATAATACCTTGATCCATGCGGACATACAGGTTTCTTGGATTGGGAAGACATGACAACGACGTAACGTTCATGTACATACTGAAAGTAATCTAAAAAAACACATAAAAAGTTATTTAAATTTACACTTTAAAAAGTATTGAATAAATGTGGTAAGAGGTATGTTATTTTAATAGTTTTAATGTTCTGTTCTGTACTGTTTAATTACATGTATTTGACTATCGTTTTAGAAAAAATCATTTACAGATATAACGTTCTTACTATTTGTCCAACAGAGTCCGTGACGCCGACAGTCAACAGGAATTGGCGAGTTAAAACTTCGGATATGTTGAACTCTCGTAACAGAGACACTTCCCCCAGTTTATCATCAATGGTAAATAGGTCAGGTGATACATCAGGGCTCACTAAATGCAATAATAATTAAAATTATTGTCCTATCAAAGATAAAGATAGACGTTTGAATTCTTGTCAGACAAGACACGCATTAGCAATATCTAATATCCATTTCTCGTCTGTGCATACACTATTCCTTACTGTTTAAAGTGTATTTCAATGTGTTATCGATGCATATAGAGATATGACCGGTAATATAGAAAACAACGTGATAATATATTTTAAAAAAATCAGTTAATATTTATTCATGTATATAGATAAACGTTGTATATGAAAGTAGTAAAATGAAATATTTAAAGGATGTAACTTTAGGTGCAACTGACGAAATATAATAAAAAGTACATGGCCCATTGGTTAAGGTGGTTGACTTCAAACCGTTTGCTTCTCACCGCTGTTCGTGGTTCAAGCCGCGCAAGCGTCTTCCGATTCTTTCATGTGAGAAAGCTCTCAACCTAAGGGTGTTTAACAATGGTTTCGTGCAAGTTCTGTTCGTACACGATACTAACAATTGTTAACATACGTCTATCGAAGGTAGACGGGTCTTCATATTGGTTATTACCCTTAAAGTTGCTCAATGTTACATACATTATAATCAAATATTGCAGAAAGTAATACTACCTCCTTCCACAGAATACGTGAGATTTACGTTGTCATCCGTACAACTCCATGTGTCTATCAACTGGAATATAATATGACATTAAATGACTGTTACAACTATTATAATTGTTATAAAAATCTGGGCAAAACATCCGGGTTTGTTTCATTTAGCAATCAGATATGTGCCTGGCTGACATCGAACAACAGTTAAGCATTTATGGTAACGTTAATTTATATCTATATAATAATCAATAGATTAATTAACATTCACAAAAGCGTTCCAGTAGTTAACAAAAAACAATAAAAAAAGAAAGAAAAAAGAAAATGGAAAGAGGGTGGATTTTGGATTTTTCATTGTGCTAATAACACGTGCTCGAGGTAAATGTTTTAAAGAATGTTCCCTGTCTTTGAATCATATATGTATATACAAACCACGACTTTTGTGCCAGCTACAGCAGTATTGACATCCACAGTTTCACACCATACCGACGTATGAGAACATTCAGGGGGACTGTCCGGACTCACGGGAATAGTTAGGCTACCTGTTGTCACCAATTTTGTTGTCAAAGAACCACCTGCATGGTAATAAAACAAGAGAAAGTTTATCTGTCATGGAAAACAAATTGCTGATCAATACTCAAATGTACTGTACAAGCTGTACTTTTGCTTTTAAAACTGTAATAATAACTAAATTGTAAGAATTTTGGTTTTATCAAAAAATATCGATTTAACGGTAGGGAGAAAATTATTTGAATAGAAGACACAATCGAAATAAAACATTATTTACTCAATCTACTCGTTATCTATATATAAACAAACATGCTTTTACTCAGTACTATTAATCCCGTCTAACACACCCTTTGCAAAAATGAACTCGCCAATAATCTAATTTCGGGAAAGGATCCCAGCTCAATAAGAATTACATTTCCGTAATAGGATAATGTCGTGAAATACGGACCTACCAAAAGTGGTTATAACTCCGCATCTATCTATCTATCTTGATCTTTAACTTTATGATTAAGTGGCATATAAAGATGAAGCAAATATTGTTCTGTATATTTGAATCTGTTTTATTTAATTTACATTAAAGAATTTTACTTCATTCGACGTTTGTGATCACTCTAAGAGTCCAATTTCAGGAAAAGCATTACGTTTCATGAAACTTCCAATGTTTATACATTTGGACCTTCAAAATTGAAGATCTGGCAAACTTATTTCCCATCATCCCCTCTCCCCAGTAATTTTTCCGGGCAAACGTTTAGACACTTGTACTGTGGAAGTTACTTCGTTACCGTAAATGGTCACATTATGCAAGCAGGCCTTTTTGGTCCTGCTTTTTTACCTCGATATCATACAAATTCCTGAAACCAGTGTAGATTGTAATGATACTGGAAACAATTTTTACTTACTGTATGCCCCAATGGTTAGATCGTATTGTGAAGTGTCCAGCGAAATAGTCTTTGCATCTTGTATAAGCTTTACATCGCCCGTCGTCTCGTTGATTGCAAACATGGAATCCACGTCGCCAGCTAGTATATGATATAATTTCACTTTTATATTCCATGGCAATAATATTTTGAAACAGAAATTGTTTATATAGATAAGCAAACTGTACACTCAATGTTTATACACTCTAAATCTCAGTGTTTTGATTCTAAACACATGTGAAAACACCTATCTGTAACAGTTTTAAAACATGTTGCGGTGTTTTCACAAAAAACTGATGTTTCACACTAAAACACGGGTGTTTTCCTAGAAAACGTGTTTAGGTGTTTTGTCTGAAAACACCTAACACGTATTTTGGGACTGTAACAGATTTAAAACACGTTTACACGTTTTAATAGTTTCCATGTTTTATTCAAAACACGATCAACAAAAAATGTGAACAATGACACATAAAACAAATTATACACATTTTAATAACATTTTGAAATTTAGGTTAAATACTAATTGTTTCTTCATTACTGCACATAAATGTTAAAATAGATCAAGACCCCCTACCATTATCATAATAGTATTTTTGGTATACTAAAATTAATATTGCATGCCTGACAGAGTGACAGTAAAGTTGACAACTTTTGGAAAAACACTGTCAACTGAGGTAGTATTTCCTACAGGTGGCAATTTTACTGTCACCTTGTCAGCCATGTTACAATCCAATGCAATATACCCGAAATTCTGGTGTTACCAATCACAAAATTAAAAAGAGCATTTTCATATTGAACCTTCAAACAATTAAAAACAAGGCAGTCTGAAGGACAGCTATATCCCCTTCGCAGTGGACAGGAATCTGTACTTCTTGATCTTTAACAAACCATGTTTTTTTAGAGAAAAACCTGGCTGTTGTGCCATGGTCGTGATTATTTATGCTAAAATATTTAAAATCTTCCATGTCAAAAAGTTATAAACAAGAATATTTGACTTCTACCTGTGACCTTTGGGACAGTGATCTGATTGTTGCCCTCTGCACATCCTCTTATAATGGTGATAATTTGTGCCAAGTTATTTTAAAAACTTTTCAGCAGATTAAGTTATTTAGGGGACACAAAAAGTGGACCATTAACATTTGACTTTTAAGTGTGACCTTGACCTTAGAGGTAGTGACCTTGTTGTGCTTTGCTCATCATGATATAAAGGTGATCATTTGTGCCAAGTTATGTTAAAAACATTTCATCAGTTGAAGTTATGGAGCGGACACAAAAGGTAGACTTTTTAACCTATGACCTTAAGTTGTGACCTTAGGGGTAGCGACCCGATTATTGCGCTCTGCACATCGTCTCATACTGACCATTTGTGCAAAGTTATTTCAAAAAATTTTCAGTTTAAAAAAGTTATGGAGTAGACATGGAAGACAGACTGTGGCCATTCCTGTAACCCCTCCCCTCTATGCAGAAGGGGATTAAAAATGAATGTATAAAATAAATACATAAAACAGATTACAGTTATATAATATTTAGGCAAACAATTAAGTAAATAAATAGATAGACAGTTAAACAACAAAAACAAATCGATATATGGATATCAGTAGAATTTCAGGTAAAATAAAAATATATATATAAAATGGATTTAACTTCTCTCTACAAAAATAAAACCTTTTTAGTTTTTACACAGTAAAGCCTAACTCCCTGTAAAAAGTAAAAAACCGGGTTTTGGCACATATATGTATCATATTTGGGTTGGAAAAAAAACAAACAGTATTTTCAGACAGTGTCAAAAATCGGTCATTCAATGTTGACTGTCCCCAATAATGTGTCCGAGTACTGTCAGACAAATTATAATACACTTCATGGTTACGAGGAGGGGGGGGGGGGAGTCAAAAGTCTGTGCACTAGTGCTCTATTTTTTATCAGTAACAGTATATATCCTGATGGTTCATAAATATCTTTGTTGTGGTGCGCTTAAGGCTTAGACAAAAAAATGGTACACTTTAGCACTCTAAAAAGTTACAATGCAACTTTATACAATATTTTGATAAATCATTTCTTTGACTCTGAAACCACCAAAAATTTAAATGCACAACAAAGGTGCCTGATCAGTGAAAACTAGTGATCTCTGTAAATAATTCTGCTTACCACTTGAAATCAGTAAATAAAAATTCAATAAATCTGATATGATAATGAAGTGAGCATGTGTTAAAGTTAGACAGTAATACATCAACAAAATACAAACTAATCTAAGACATCAATGCAATATATTAAACTTACTACATAGCCATGTACCAAAATAAGCAGCATATTAACATTTTTGCAAAAAACAACCAAATAGCACTAATACTTCGTTAACTGTTTAATTTAAACAATTTAAATATTATGGCATTTTAATGCTTTCATTTGACATAAAAATGTCACCAGTCTGCAATAACATACTGATGTCATAGATAATAAAATTAGTGTTTAAACACTGCATTATTAAGTCAATATTTTCTGCTAGTGAATAATAATTTGATAAATCACTGGATTTAAAAGTTCCTAAAAAGAAGCATAGTCTTAGCTGTTTTGAAAAATATTGACACTTGACATTTGCTATTTCAAATAGAGCCAAAATATACAGCTTGATGTTCAGACATCAAGATGATTTAAATGTCTGATTAAGGAATGGGAGGGATTGCACCATCTATGCAGCAAAAATAAAGGCACTGATCAGCTGATGGTTACCACACAGCTATTCTGCACCTTTGTTTTTGCAAGTGCAAAAAAGCAGGTTTTTTCATGGTAAAAGGTAAGCTGTTAAGAAGTCAATAATATGTCCATGACACAGAAGGTTGAATTTAATTTAAAATGTTGGTTGTATTTGTTCATTAGTTTTTCCAATTTTTCCACAAAGTGTAAATTCCCAGCCGACTTGTGACTAAGAAAGGCTTGTTTAAATACTGTTTGTTGCATGAATCCAAGGAGTTGTGAAAAGCAGTGGGATTTTCTAGATCCATTATATAATACCAGCTTATTAATAAGAATAGCCCTTCCATGAGGCTATCTGTCTCAAGTGGTATCTTGCACTGGTCTCCAACAATATACTGTTTGTCCAGTTCTATGTTGTTAAAAATAAAAACAAGGCTTCACTTGGAGGAGAATTAGGCTGTGATGACAGGACCTTTGACGGATTAGCTTCTTCAATATCCTGCAACATGAACATGGAATAAAACAATGAATGAGTACCATCCTTCATAACAGGATCAGGGAAATCTTCTACCTTAAGCATTTCCAACCAGCACATAATAAAGTGTTAGTTAATGTCTGCTTCTGGAGCAGTAGGTCAGAAATTCGATCTTCTGCCATGCCATGCTGAGCAGGGCCAACATTCGTCTATTTTATATAGTGACAAGACAGGCAAAAAATGAGATACCATGTTTGACAAAGAGGCATATCTATAGAGATACTTATCATATACTTAAATAAGTTTACAAGTCAATCCATTTAATATGCTATTTTGACAAAATTGTAAGTTGAAAAGGGGCATAACTCCAAAATATAGTTTTAAGAATAACTCCCCATGTCTGAACAGTGTGTCTTGTGATGTAAAGCAAATATAAAATGAATTTATCAAAGTCTTGTGCTGATACCTTTGATAGTTTTGACATTAATTCATTTAATAAATTTCAGAATTTTGTCCCTTGTCAGTTACAAATGTGTCTTGTCATGATTAGCGGCTGCAAGTATTCAAGTTAAAATTAAATTCAGTGGTATTATACAAAACTGACAAAAAAAATTCCGGTAAATTAACTATACCTTATGTAGAACTACAATTTATCTAGTCTTGCACCCCTTTCCATGTTTGAATCCTGTATTACTTTCTATGGCTCTTATAACGTCCAAATCATCTTTGCACTGCAACAGAAATCAGTAATTCTAAGTAAACAGAAACGCACACAATCATATCCTAAACACAGCTTTCAATATGACAAAATGAACACATGATTAGCAGTCAACACACTGCGTTAACAATTTTAACCATATTTGCATTAAAGTGACAAAAGCACTGTAAAAACAAACATCAGCCACAAAACAAGATTATGCCATGTTGGATTTCCTGCAATATATCTCAGGATAAAGTCGCAAATTTTTGAAGTCCAGTCAGACAATGTATTTCAAAGCACATTAAAATTACATATTTTGTACTAAAAATCAGATATTTTATATCTAAAAAAAACAACAACAACAAATAATCATTGTCAGAACTATTTGATTAATGTACAGGTGCAGAAGCATAATCAACTTCTGACTGGGTCTCCTAGGTTCAACACAACCTTGTTATAACATGGTAGTTTGAATCCTTTATATAGACCATGTTAGTTAACCACATTATATCCAAACAAAAAAGTATTTATTATATATTTAAAAAAAATATGGAATTTTTCTTTCTATTCTATACCTTTTGTGAATACAATTTTTACCCTCTTTTAAACATTATTATATCTTAAGCCGCATTATAACAAGTGTTATGCATGCAACATATTACATGTATATAATTTATATCTGACCAGTTGGTATTTCCAATATTATCATTGTTCTATTTTTAGAACATAAACTACATGTATGTACTAGAAGGTTCTTACCTATTGTAGAAAACTCATGCATTATATTTAGATAGAAACTTCTGGAATGATCTTTATTGTTGAAGTTGCTAGATTATGATTACTTGAGAACATAATAGACCTTTCTGGAAACTTCTTAGTTAATATATATAAGGAGACATTTTTCATTAATCTTATCTTTAAGTCATCAGTTACCTTTTTAGTCATCAGTAATCTTTTAAGTCATCAATATATTTGGAGTATTATTCAACTTGGAAATTAAGTGATTTATTGGAGCTTGGATTATTAATTATTCTTGTGGATTTTATTGTGGGAATTTATTTTAAAGTGTTCTTGGATTTAACTTGGATTTAACTGTGCTATTCAAAAAGGATCATTCCAGGATCAGACTAGACATTAGATTTTACATTTTTATTTGGACTTCAGGTATTTGTAAACGTAATTTGTTATTTTAGTTTTCTTTAATAATTTTTCTGTAATAAATTTGTTATTGTTACAAGTTTGTTGCTGGCTTTTCTTTCTCGTTACGCCTGGCTCGTAACAGAAATTGGGGGCTCGTCCGGGAATGAATATTTATTTTGGCTACAATATTGGAAATTATTACTGTTTATTTTACATTTTATTATTACCGTATTTACTCATCTGAGTTGATATCATAGTTGTTCTATTAAGTGTACCTTTCATTTTGAAATTTTTGAAACACATCACTTTCTGAGTTTAAAACCAGCAACAAGCAGTCATGTCTTTTAATTTAGAAAAGTTTGTAGCTGAACCTTCCCAGGAGGTATTAGATTTGGCTAAGAAAACTGATTTGCTCGATCTTGCAAAAAAGTATAATTTATCAGAAATTAAATCTTCAATGCGTAAACAAGAAATTAAAAATCTTCTGATTCATTATTTTGTGGATGAAGATATTTTTGGAGAAGATGCACTTTCTCACATTGTTGAAAAACACTCTGAAATTTCTGAAATTAAGATAAAAGAGCTTGAACTTCAATTTAAATTTGAACTAGAAAAAATGCAATTAGAAAAAGAAAGGGAAGAAAGGCAGTTACAGTTAGAAAAAGAAAGGGAAGAAAGACAGTTAGAAAAAGAAAGGGAAGAAAGGCAGTTACTGTTAGAAAAAGAAAGGGAAGAAAAAGAAAGGGAAAGGCAGTTTGAAAAAGAAAGGGAAGAGAGAAAATTAGAAAAAGAAAGAGAAGAGAGAGAATTTCAGTTAAGAATGAGAGAATTAGAAATCAAAGAGAGAGCAAATCAGTTTGAACATAGAATAAATTCAAAATTTGATGTCACTAAAAATATTAGGCTTGTTCCACCTTTCCAAGAAAAAGAAGTTGATAAGTATTTTCTTCATTTTGAAAAGGTTGCTGAAAATTTAAAATGGCCAAGAGAGCACTGGACATTACTTTTACAGAGCGTCTTAATTGGTAAAGCTCGTGAAATCTATACACAACTTACTGTTGAGCAAAGCTCTAATTATGATAATGTAAAAGAATTAATTCTGAAAGGTTATGAGTTAGTACCAGAGGCCTACAGGCAAAAATTCAGAAATTCTAAGAAAGAAATTGGTCAAACCCATGTCGAATTTGCAAGAGAAAAAGAACAACTTTTTGATCGGTGGTGTCTATCTAAGAAAATAAATAAAAATCATGAAAAGCTCAGACAGCTCATGTTAGTTGAAGAGTTTAAACGTTGCATTCACTCTGATGTTAAATCTTTCTTAGATGAAAAACAGGTAGAAACTTTAGAAGAAGCTGCCCGTCTAGCTGATGATTATTCTTTAACCCACAAAGTCTCATTTATAAATAAAGGGAAGTCCACACCCTCACATTTTAATTCCAAGTTCAGTTCTGGTAATTTATCTGGCTTATCTAGTCTGTCAAATACTCCCAAACCAAAGTCATCTGATGAACATAAAGGTCATAGTCCCTTATCTCGTCCTACATGCAATTATTGCAAGAAAACTGGACATCTTATCTCTGATTGCTTTACCTTAAAAAGGAGGCAACAGCAACGTGATGAGGCCAAACCCACAGGTCTTACCACTTCAAGGTCTGAACCTCAGTCTTGTATTGATAACAATGCAATTTTGAAGGTCAAGGAACCCAAGTCTGATTCTATAATGGAGATTTATGAACCATTCCTTTCGGAAGGTTCCGTGTCACTTATCGGTGATACTTGCCCACCTACTCCTATTAAAATTTTAAGAGACACAGGAGCTTCTCAATCTCTTATTTTAGCAGATACACTGCCTTTTTCTGAGAAGACTTCTTCTGGATCTAGTGTCCTTATTCAGGGTGTAGAGTGTGGTTTTTCTAATGTTCCTCTCCATAATATTTATTTGTCCTCAGATTTGGTAACTGGGCCGGTGGCTGTAGGTATAAGATCTTTCTTACCCTTTAAAGGTGTTCATTTATTGCTAGGTAATGACTTAGCTGGAGATAAGGTAGTGGTTAATCCACTTGTAACTGACACTCCTTGTGTGGATCAGATACCTGACCCCATTGAGCAGGAAATTCCTGACCTTTACCCTTCATGTGCAGTTACTCGAGCTATGGCTAAGAAGGCCATTCAAGAAGATAATTATTGTTCAGATATTGACTTAGCTGATACTTTTATAGGTCAGTCTTTTGATAATGAAATGAATTTTTCTCTTACTCCTACTCTGCCTGAAACTCAGACAGATTTTTCAATATCTGATTTTTCTACACCAAGATCTAAAGATCAAGGTCATGATACGCTGTCAAGGTCACAGCTTATTCAGGAACAACAAAATGATCCTGAGATTTCTGTCCTTTTTCAAAAGGCTTTTAGTGAAGATGAAGCTTTACAAGTCCCTGTTTGTTATTATGAAAAGAATGGGATTTTAATGAGAAAATGGCGACCGCCCGATGTCCCTGCTGAAGAGGAGTGGACTGTTAATCACCAAATTGTGGTCCCTAAATCATATCGCCAGGAAATATTAAGCTTGGCTCATGAAACACCCATGGCAGGTCATTTAGGTGTTAATAAAACCTACCATAAAATTCTCAATCATTTTTATTGGCCTGGCCTTAAAGCAGATGTATCTAGGTACTGTAAATCTTGTCATACTTGTCAGATGGTTGGAAAACCTAACCAGACAATACCTAAAGCTCATTTACAGCCTATTCCTGCATTTGATGAACCTTTTAGTAGAGTTATTATTGACTGTGTAGGTCCATTACCAAAAACTAAATCAGGTTCTCAGTACTTATTAACTATTATGTGTGCTTCTACGCGCTTCCCTGAAGCTATTCCTTTAAGGAATATTAAAGCCAAAACTATTGTTAAGGCTCTTGTGAAGTTTTTCACTTTTGTTGGTTTACCTAAATCAGTACAGTCTGATCAAGGGTCAAATTTTATGTCTGGTATTTTCCAGCAGGTCATGCACGAGTTAGGTATTACTCAATATAGGTCTTCAGCCTATCACCCTGAAAGTCAAGGTGCTTTAGAAAGATTTCACCAGACTCTGAAAAATATGATTAGGTCATATTGTTTTGACACTGAAAAAGACTGGGATGAAGGCATCCATTTATTGTTATTTGCTGTAAGAGAATCTGTTCAAGAATCTCTTGGTTTCAGCCCTTTTGAATTAGTATTTGGTCACACTGTCCGAGGACCCTTAAAACTTCTAAAAGAGAAATTCCTGTCTGAGGATGACATTTCTTTAAATTTGCTTCAGTATGTATCAGATTTTCGAAATAGGTTGACTAATGCATGTGAGTTAGCTAGGGTTAATTTAAAATCAACACAAAGTAAAATGAAATCAAGGTATGATGAGAATGCTCAGGAAAGAAGTTTTAACCCTGGTGATAGAGTACTTGCTCTTTTACCTATACCTGGAAAACCATTACAGGCAAGATACTTTGGTCCTTATACTATTGAAAAGAAAGTCAGTGACCTTAATTATATTATTAATACTCCTGGGAGGCGAAAGCAAAAGCAAATGTGTCATATAAATATGTTAAAAGAATATTTTGATAGAGATAGCAAAATTAGTAAACCTATATCTGTTGTAAACTCTGTTCCACAAAGTCAATGTTCAGTTGAATCTAATAATTTTGAAAAGTCTGATCCTGGTTCAGCAAAGCTTGAAAACTCTGATATTCTGAAAAATCTGGATGAAAAACTTGCTCACTTAGAACCGTCGAAACGAGATGAACTGAAACAGCTTATTTATGAATATGAACACTTATTTCCTGATATTCCCACACGGACTGATAAAATACATCATGACGTCATTCTTGAAAACTCTGAACCAATTAAACAACATCCATATAGAACAAATCCTGTAAAACAAAAGTACCTAAGACAAGAAGTTCAGTATTTATTGGAAAATGACTTTATTGAACCAAGTCAAAGCAGTTACAGCTCTCCATGTATTCTTGTACCCAAATCAAATGGAACATATAGAATGTGTACAGATTATCGTAAAGTGAACTCTGTAACAAAAACTGATTCATTTCCTATACCAAGAATTGATGACTGTATTGACAAAATTGGAAAAGCAAAGTATGTAACAAAGTTTGATCTTCTAAAAGGATTCTGGCAAGTTCCACTTACTGATAGAGCTAAAGAAATATCAGCCTTTGTAACACCAGACGGCTTATATCAATATAAAGTCATGCCATTTGGTATGAAAAACTCACCAGCAACTTTTCAGAGACTTATAAACATGGTAATATCTGGGCTACACGGATGTGACGCTTACATTGATGACGCAATCATCTACTCTGATGAATGGGAGGAACATCTCAAAACTATACGAGCATTCTTCGACCGACTTAGTGATGCTAAATTGACAGTTAATCTTGCAAAAAGTGAATTTTGTCATGCAATTTTAACATTTTTAGGACATGTAGTGGGACAGGGTAAAGTTAAACCAATAGAAGCTAAGGTCAAAGCTATCTCTGAATTTCCTGTGCCTACTTGTAAAAGACAACTGATGCGATTTCTTGGTATGGCAGGGTATTATCGTAAATTTTGTAATAATTTTTCGGTTATTGCAGAACCATTGACAAATTTGCTAAAGAAAAGAAACAAATTCATTTGGAATGACAAGTGTCAAATGGCATTTGACAGCCTGAAAGCCATACTTAAGAGTGCACCAGTTCTCTTGGCACCAGATTTTAATAAAAACTTTAAGTTAGCTGTAGATGCTAGTGACATAGGTGCTGGAAGTGTATTGATCCAAGAAGACAACAATGGTGTTGACCATCCCGTTTGTTACTTTTCTAAAAAGTTTAATGAACATCAGAAAAATTACTCTACTATAGAGAAAGAGTGTCTTGCTCTTATTCTTGCTATTCAGCATTTTGAAGTTTATCTAACTTCTTCAAAGTTGCCTGTTGTTGTCTTTAGTGATCACAATCCCTTCACTTTCTTGCATAAACTTAAAAACAAAAATCAAAGGTTGTTGAGGTGGAGCTTATTTTTGCAAGAATATAGTCTTGACATTAGACACATTAAAGGGAAAGATAATTTGATCCCTGATGCACTTTCACGTGTCTAAAACTGTTATTTGCAGTATTTTAAATTTAACATTTATATGATATGATTGGTTATTTTTTTTTTTTGTTGTTGTTTGCTATTGTTTGTAATACACATATATATGAATGTATAAAATTGTTTAACATTTCTCCTATGTTATTTGTTAGTTACATTGTTTGAATTTATGTAAAAGAAATATTCATTTCATTCATATTTCTTTTTCTTGAAGAGGGGAAGTGTTATGTATGCAACATATTACATGTATATAATTTATATCTGACCAGTTGGTATTTCCAATATTATCATTGTTCTATTTTTAGAACATAAACTACATGTATGTACTAGAAGGTTCTTAACTGTTGTAGAAAACTCATGCATTATATTTAGATAGAAACTTCTGGAATGATCTTTATTGTTGAAGTTGCTAGATTATGATTACTTGAGAACATAATAGACCTTTCTGGAAACTTCTTAGTTAATATATATAAGGAGACATTTTTCATTAATCTTATCTTTAAGTCATCAGTTACCTTTTTAGTCATCAGTAATCTTTTAAGTCATCAATATATTTGGAGTATTATTCAACTTGGAAATTAAGTGATTTATTGGAGCTTGGATTATTAATTATTCTTGTGGATTTTATTGTGGGAATTTATTCTAAAGTGTTCTTGGATTTAACTTGGATTTAACTGTGCTATTCAAAAAGGATCATTCCAGGATCAGACTAGACATTAGATTTTACATTTTTATTTGGACTTCAGGTATTTGTAAACGTAATTTGTTATTTTATTTTTCTTTAATAATTTTTCTGTAATAAATTTGTTATTGTTACAAGTTTGTTGCTGGCTTTTCTTTCTCGTTACGCCTGGCTCGTAACACAAGGCTGTGCTGTATGCATAGTAAGATTGCAATGATATCTTTTTCCCTTTTCCACAAGGTTGCCTGCCCTAACAGTAATCTTAACTCATACCTCTTTTCCTCCAGGTTTAAGTGTAGCTACTGCTTCAAACAATATCTCTAGTCAACAAATGGTTGGATGTGGCCTACTGCAAGAATTAATTTAATTTCCAACAACATCTGAAAAAAAAGAAAAACAATTATTATAATTAGCTTATAGATAATCATATGATAATTAAAAAAGGAAATGTAGCAAAACAGCATAGATCACCTGCCTTTAAATTTCACTTTCGAAATATTTTTATAACCATTAATGTTTAATATGCAATTTATGACACAATTAACAGCCATTTGTGTATGCTCATATATGATGTAATTTATAAATTATTTCTTTTTTTTTCTTAGTTAATTTTTTTAGTGTATTTAACTCCACATTCAGGAAAAAGTTCTGTTCAGCAATAAATATGTAACATGGTTGTTGGGGTCAATACCAACCTCATGTTAGTTTAAACGTCGCATTAATGATTATACATCCAAACAATACTGTAAATAATTCTGGAAACAAAGTGATCCCTCGGAAGCATTAATCACAACAAAATAACATAAGAATTGCAGACTCGGTTTGATTGAGTCTGTACATGAGGGATAATGAATAAGTGCAACATCTCTCACGCCCCCTAGCACCGGCTTGAGCGGTACTCAATTCTCAACACTTTATAGTGTTGGCATCAATGATCCCGAAGGACCAGAAAATATAACAACACTGAAGTGAAGTACGGGGCAACTTTTTACGGCTGCCACACAGCACTTGACACCTGCTGTTGTGAAGTACATAATTCTGGAATTATTACAATAATAACCATTCATGGTTATTTTTATACATACTCATAGTCTACACATTTTAGGAATTAATCTTTGAACTTTATTATATCCAAATGACTTGCTAGAAAGAACCTCATTATAAAGACTTATAATGTGACATGTAAATATGCATATTGATAAAATGATTTTGTAATTTTAGTACAACATATTAATCTTTGAAATTATTTAAGCCATGGCATGATAAACCTGCAGTAAGGATGTACATCCATTAAAGACTCAGACCTGACTAGATGCCTGCATGGTTGGGTCCTGGCTATCCACTCAATGAAGTATAGGACCTTTGGGTAACCATTGAACGCACAGTAAACATCTGATTGGATAAAGGGGTGGATGGGATGATCCAGGTTTTTGCTGATTTATTTATCAGATTTTAATAGTCAACTGATAAGAAAGAAAATTCAAATCTACAATTTTTTCATGCAACTTACAAGATGGTGTTACAATTTCTGTCGCTGTGGTAATAGTTGTGGACTCTGTCTCAGTCTTTGACATGTTGGCATCTTGGGTGTCTGCCAAAACATTACAACAGTGTCTTTTGGAATATCAGGTTCTCATATTTGTTGGTCTTCTAGAAGCATCAATACTTAGTTTTGAATATGTCAAGGATGGCGTTTTCTTCCCTAGAAGCATCAATACTTAGTTTTGAATATGTCAAGGATGGCGTTTTCTGCCATTTCTATCTTTTTCCAGCACAACAATCAAACTTCCTCCTTGCAACTGTTGCTTGTCACCAGCTAAAATATTGAATAAAACTTGAGTTAGTGTTTCTGAGAAATAGTCATCAATACCAACTAGATCGAAGTATCAAACTATTTGAATTATTTATCAAACTACAGATCTTTTCTGTTAAACATAACACAGTCATTCTAACATAACAATTATGTATTGTAGCTATCAAATATTATATAGATGAGATCCGTAGTTATATTCATGAATATGATTTCTGCCATCACAAATGGATCTCAACAGCATATATAGAACTCAAATTAAATTTTGACAACTGTTCCTTTCTTTTAAGAAAATTCTAAATAATATCATCAAGTAGGGTTTGTTTTACTGTTAACATGATTATTATATTTTGTGAAAAGTTTGTGTTTTTTTTAGTCTACTTGTTTGAATTTTCTTTATACTGTGAAATCAGATATTTTTGCAAGGCTAAAATTTTGTGAATAATATGATTAACATTTAGGGTTCACCATGTTGAATGTTTGTGAAAATCAAAGTGGAGGACAATAGTTATTGCAATTAGGTAATACTTACATGATGATAATTTATTGAATTTGCAAATGTAGTAAAAATTAAACACAGAAAGGTAGAATCACATTTCTTTTTTTAAAAAATCAATTCAAATGTAAATAAAGCTATGATACTGTGAAATGTCTATTTTTTTCTATTCACATATCGGCTTTACTTGGCATCTGGATCACCAGACTTTCACAAAGTGTTTTACGCCATCAACTGTGGCTGTACAGTAGTCACACCTGTACAGATTTTCTCATGACAAGGCTTTATATTCTAAATAATTCTGAGATTCCTCTTTTGAGCACACAACCTAACACTGTGTTGTAATTGTGCTGTAGTGTGTAAAAATACTTACCTTTCTTCAGAAGGTCTTCAAGACTGCTTGCAAGTACAGATATTCTCTTCTGCCTTGTAGTGTAGTACCTCCAAAATTTTGTACTCATTAGCCATACTAGTTGTTAAATATGTAATTATGAGAAGAAACTTGTAGCCGTAACATGTAGATCTGACAGTACCCAAAATTACATTTTATTGAAGTACCTGTATTAATTTATCCATAATGACTGTTCTTCCATTACAGATATCCAAGACAGGGGCAAAACAAACTTGAGATCTTGATATTTTTTAGCAAACTGTCTTTGTATCTGAACATTTTACAAAGTAAGAGTCAATATGTTCATCACATTCTATAACCACAACTTGCACAAGAGAGTAAAAACAAAAAAATTCTGGTAGAAATCTAGTCAATGACTAAAATCAACAACCCAGTGTTTTTCCTTATATAACTGATACCGGAAAACGGCACCGTTCCCAATAGAAAATAGACAGCAAATTTTCCAATTCATGACTGATAAATTCCAAATTTAACACTGAAAATTTCCTCTAAAAACAGTAATGCATGCCTCGGAGCCTTCCGTATTGATAAGTGATATACGATAAAAACCAAGTAAAACCACGTACATGAGTGATATTCGTACCCAGTTCATTTCGTACTTTATGTTTCACACCTACTAAACATTTTTTATGTACAATTGTTATGATAATCAATTTTTTTTTTCAACCTCAAGCAGCAAAAATAATCTTTAAAGTTAATAATAGATGATTTTAAAGTGTATAGTTCTGCAAAATTTTCATCACCTCCCTGGATAAAGAGAAATTCCCAATAAATATTTTGCATCTAAAATAAAATTCCCAATTAAAGTCAAACCGATGGATTTTTTCCCCAATCTGTCCGGTACCGTTAACTGTACCAGCACCATTCCCAAAGTAGGGAAAAAACACTTTGACTTTCTGATATCAATTGAATAATTTATATTTAAATATTATATATAATATAAACGTTTCTTTACTTGACAACATGTTCTCAATTATCCAATCAAAACACGTTGAATGTAACATGATATGGTTTCTGTTTTCTAGCTATGTTGTTTAAAAGTTTTATTCAGTATGTTTTTGTTTGCTGTCCTAAATAAAGTTTAAGTAAAGTGTAGTTAAAAATTATTTTTAAAGTATTCCCTATATAAAATTAATGTTAACTTAGCCTCAATAATCAAATCGAAATTAATGGAATTAAGAATCAAATCCAGAGAAAGCTGAATAGTTGCACCCTGACAAAGGAACATTTATTATAAATGTGTGATAATAATATAGAACTAGACTTTATATGTTTATTTGTCTTTTCATTCTAAAGTTTATAAAATATTGAAAATAAAGAAATTTAGGGGGGTGGGGGTTTATAGGAAATTTCAATCAAAAGGTTTATACAGTTACTGTTAAATGACAATTATTTACACCTGCCCGGCCCATCGTGCTTCCATTACAGGGATATAAAATAACAGGGACCCAGTCGCAATGGTCCTAACTTTTGGGTAGGGCCCCAGCTTTCTAGAAGAAATGCCTAAATAACTAATGTAAAATAGTCTGGGCCCCTAGATAAAAATTGTTTATTTATATACCTGCATTATCAGACAGGTATAAATATAGTCAATCCCATAGCTGATCATTGGACATCATGCGCCATTTCCTACATCACTAAATGTAAATAAGATTTTACTTCAATTTGTTGTTAGAAAGTGTGTGTGGACAGAAATACTCCTGCCCTGGTGGACCAGTTGAAAGACAAATTTAAATTATTTTAATCCTTAACAAAGAAACAAACGATACAACTCAAAACTACCCCAAAGTGATTTGAATACAAATCCGTGAAAAAGAACACCAACAGTTTTAGTAATTTTTACACAAACAGAAATAACTGACCAATCTAATCACGTAACGTAAACAGCATTCCCCACCCACCTGTTTCAATTCGTCTATCGAAGCGAAAATGGACTATATATAGTACATAAAACCTAACCATTCACCTGTAAAAACGTTAAAAATATTAACAAATCTATCTAAGCAACTGTTGTACATATCTGTTATGGAAGAAACAACAAAAATGAGGCAAACAATTTCTGGCGGTTTTTGTCGTCTGATCTACAATGTGCTACATCGCCAGGCGCTTTACGGAGATATCAATCGAAGCGTACTCTTTACACGCAAGCATCTGGCTGCTATGATTCGAATTTATTTATTATTAAATATTTTATGTAATTGAATTCATCATAATTTGTCTCTGGATCTAGATATTTTAATATGGGGATTGTACAAAAATAATTCTAATTATAAAAAAAAATTAATCAATGCTAAGGGGAAGTAACCGCTGTCAGATTAAACCTTGGTGTAAACCTTAGTGTTTTCGGCCGAAACACGTGTTTTCAGATTTCCGGATGACAAGTATAAACGAATTTTCCGACACAAATGATGTTTTTGTCTCATTATTTTTTTACATGTGGCCTATTCACAACACTTGCGTGACTTCAACTCATTCAATAAATAATGTAAAATTATTTAATTATATATTCTAGGTTGTCCTGTGAAAACACCACCGTTTTCTGGGCATCGAGCGGAAAACATGAATAAAACATATGTGTTTTCACTGAAACGTATACAAAACATAAGCATTTTATATGAAAACGTCAGTGTTTTTGTGTGAAACACTGGTAAAACACGTGTAGTGTTCTCAAAATTTACAGTGTAATAGTCAAAACAGCCCTAAAAGAGGAGGGTTCTAGATAAAATGTAGTAGCATTTAATGTATTTGGAAAACCTCTATTTTCTTAAGTTCAATCAGTCAGTTAAATAGCGAAAAGCTAAAGTTTACTGTGGTCGAATCGTGAGAAATACTTCAAATAGCTTGCAGACATCAAGATGAAAACATTTTTTTTCATACAAAAAAAACCAGATGAAAACTAGTTAATAAATTTGCAAATTGTCTACAAATATTGTAATAGATGCTTTTTCACACAGCATGATTATCTCCCCTGTACTAATCTTCAAATAAAATAGGCTTACAAATAGATAAAAAATCTATCACAAGTATGCCGTCTTAAAAGTAAGTTCATATAATTTTGTTTTGTTATTAGCTGCCATATGTAATATGACGCTGAATAAACTATTTACTTTGCATATTTAAGTGTTTTGTCAATAACATTGTTTATTTGAAAAATGGGCATTAAAATGGTTTCCATGCCGCAGGAGCTAAATTTTGTAAAACCCGAATATTATCTATAAAATCGTATATTTGATTTGTAAAAAAATTAGTATGCGATTAAAATTTGATGCATGGAGGAGCACGTGACCTGTTTTGGTACTTTATTGGTTAATCAACGTTGTAATGTTTTTTTAAATAAACTTATATGCACATACGGTAGTTTCAAATGGTATATGAAAGAATATTCAAGTGCAATTAAAAAAATAATAAAATAATTAAATGTAAACATGAAAATAGTACTGTAGTTTGTATCATCATGGCGTCTGTAAGAGAAATCTAAAAAATCTAGATGATACAGAAGGACATCCTACTTATTGACCCGGTCTCCAAAGACTTTCTTCTTCATATTGTACTATCTTCTCGAAATAAACGTTTTTACAACAAATTTTACAAACTGTTAAATGAAATATCTTTACATTATTAAAGTTTATCTCTGCAGGAAACCTTTTTAACTCGTTTAGATTATGTATTGTAAGATCGATAATTAAACAGTATGTATCTTACACTCGATCGTAAATAGGATGTTTCTAAATTCGTCACTTATGTCATTGTCCGTTGCATTGACTGTGAATATCACTTCGTCTGTAAACACAAAGGGAGATAAGGCAAACAATGTATATCCAAAATATGGTTAATTGTTCGGACAATCATTTCTTTTCGGACAAAAATCGTATTTTTATGTGAATGAACGTAGTTACAGATCGGAAAGAAAAATGTTAAGACGTTATTTGTTTGACTTGCCGTATTCCTACGGTAGTATAAAGAATTAGTAACTTGATAAACTGTTTAAAATATTCCCAACCATACATTTGTTTAAAGAAAAATATATACTTTGCTCTCTAATTTTGGGTTGATTATTGGATCTTATGAATAAAATAGAAACATAGAATGAAGCAATTTTTGCTTAGTTAGTGTTTTGATGTTCTTTCTCTTTTGTATCATAGTAAAACATAAAACACATTCTCTGTTGCCTAGAAAAAGTAACCAATGAACGAGCATCTGAATATGATATCTCTGTCGCTTTGCCTTACTCTGCTGTCACAATAAGTAAACCCAAGCAAAAATGAACCAATCAATGGGTATGCTCTGGAGTGCGGGTAACTAATACCTGAAAGGTCCGCAAACTATGAAACAATTATGTAGATATCTTGTTTTTATGAATAATGAATAATGAATAATCTTTAGACTTATACCTGTTTTTTGGCCTCTCGATAACGTATAGTTGCCAGGTAAATTTAAAAATACTGGCGCAACGTCATCAACGTCTGAAACTGTAACATTAAACGTCACTGTATACGTCACTTGCGGGACGTCACTATCTATCAACCTGCAGATTACATTTTGTAGTATAATTAAATATGTAAATGTTTGCTCGGAGACCTAAACGAATGAAAATATTCATCATATCGAGTTACATTCGGTTAATGATATTAATCAATTATATTTTCTAGGTGTACATATCAGTTGGTCACATATTTGACGTCAAATAAGGATTTTACCAATTTGTGGCGGTGTTCTTGACATACTATACATTTATATTTTGGAAAAAGCTCTGATATTTATTACCTTTTTGACTTTGAGATTACAACATATTTCGAGTAAGAACATTTCTTAGAGTATAATGAGCAAACTTACGTTGCAAGTAATGTAAATTAAGTGATAACATCTTAGTTGAGAAAACCTACGTTACAAGTAATGTAAATGTACTTAAAACATCGTAGTTGAGCAAACTTACGTTGAAAGTAATGTAAATATACTTATAACATCGTAGTTGAGCAAACTTACGTTGAAAGTAATGTAAATGTACTTAATTATTACATCGTACTTGAGTAAACTTACGTTGAAAGTAATGTAAATGTACTTATTACATCGTAATTGATCAAACTTACGTTGAAAGTAATGTAAATGTACTTATTACATCGTAGTTGAGCAAACTTACATTGTAAAGTAATGTTAATGTACTTATTACATCGTAGTTGAGGAAACTTACGTTGAAAGTAATGTAAATGTACTTATTACATCGTAGTTGAGCAAACTTACGTTGAAAGTAATGTAAATGTACTTATTACATCGTAGATGAGAAAACTTACGTTGCCAGTAATGTAAATGTACTTATTACATCGTAGTTGAATAAACTTACGTTGCAAGAAATGTAAAATTACTGATAACATAGTTTTTAAGAAAACTTACGTTGCATGTAATGTAAATTTACTAATAATATCGTAGATGAAAAAAACTTACATTGCAAATAATGCTAATTTACTGATAACATAGTAACTAAGGTGAGAAAACTTACGTTGCAAGTAATGTAAATTTACTAATAACCTCGTAGTTTAGACTAGAGACCAAGTCCAAGTACACATACGGTGGTTCGTCTATCAGAGCAAACAGTTGAGTATCTTGGTCGGTGATGTTATTATCTGTAGTTGCCTCATACTATATTAATTTCATAATTTTTGATAAATAAGATAATAAAATGACTTTAGAATTCTCCAATGTAAACATACGACACAAAACATTGTTCAAGTAGACCAGTAATGATGTTTGTAACAATTATACCATATATCTACAGATGTTTCTAAATAGAAAGGACCTTTTTTCAAAATTCAACTGTTTTCAGAGGCGCATTTACACGTTTAATCTGATGACGCATTTTAAAAAGGACATTTGTATAATACATTTGTATATCGTAAGGCATTAATTAAATTATTTTTTCATTACAGTTTTAGGCGCTATTAGTGTAAACTTTTACGTTATAATAACCAGATAAATCTTTTTTGTCACTGAAATCTAAACAGATTTGTTTTGTTTTTTACATGACCTGCTTCTAAAAATGACAACAAAATATATACAACGGAAATTGAACAACCGACATATAAGATAAATTATAAAAAAACGTGTTTAAATTGAAAATAAAAGGAAAATCATTCTAATTAACCAATTGCATCGCATCTTTTCGACCCTTTCCGTCAGTCTTCGTATTATAAATCACAGACTATGGCGGATTGACAATTAACGTCATTTATACTAAGGGAAACAAATTTTAAAATAGGTAAGTAATTTACCAGCGGAGTTATCTGTAGATTAATGGTTCCTGTGTAGGTGAGGACTATCACACAGACGGTGTCGTTGACACGTCCGGTTGTTAGGTCTTCCGGCACTGTGATCTGAATTGTGTCTTCATTATTAGGACTGGTTAAGTTTATTCCCTCTGTAAAATATCAATATGAATATTGTTTTTTAAAATATTACGTCAGAGACTTATATAACATAATATATATATATATATATATATATATATATATATATAATATATATATATATATATATATATTATATATATACATATATATATATATATATATAAATAGATTTTACCCATACTTTGCGAGGTGCTCCGAATATTGATGAGGCCTCTTTCAAGAGTGGCCTTCTCCCTCCGACAATATTGAAATAAGGATTTGATTAACCATCCTGTTTATCGTAAAATTGATTAATTGTATGTACGTCGTATGTTTATCAGTATTTTATTATCTCCTGAATTATTTCTATCCTTCTTAAATAAATTCCTAAATCCACCCCGCCATGAGTTCTAAAACAGAATATCCTTATCGAAAGGACAAACCCTCCCCCCGCCCCCCCCCCCAAAAAAAAAACAAAAAAAAAAACAAAAACAAAAAAAAACAAAAAAAAACAAAAAGAACAAATGATATTGACATAAGTAAAAAACAGAGAAAGAAAGAATCAGATTTCTGAAACAAAGAAGTTATTTTCTTTTGAAAAAAAATATTTGGTACATGTATTCAAACTAATAGTAGTAAGTGCCGATAGAAAAACACGACTTTCTAGTCAACCCTATGATTAATATTTGTAAAAAAAACGCATGGTCTTGTATATGCTATTTTACATACTGAATACTTCTGTGAATGAAAACATAAATCCGTAAAAATTGTCAGCTGAGTTTGTTGTAAATTCGATTTCAATATAGTTTCCAGTAACGTCGAGCGGGAAAATGGTGTGCTCATAATCGACAGCACGTGTGCATACGACTGCCGCGTCCACTGACGATTCTTCTCCAACTGAAAAGCAAAATAAATAAATGAGCTGTGTCACGACAAAACCAACATCGGGTGATATAGAAGCTTGACAGGTAATATATCCACATATTTCACTCCAAAACCAAAATAACATAATAATACAATGTAATAAATTACCGCTTATGAAACGGAGCGCATCATTTGCACATCCTTTGGAGACTTCAATATCCAGAAATGTCATGTTGAACGTCACGCCATAGTACAATGTTTGTGGGTAGATTCTTATAATGCAAGAAAAATTACTGAAAGTAGAACATGATAATTATATAGTTACAAAGACTTGTTAATAACCATAACACAACAGAACGTTATTTCATTATTGACTTGAAAACAGTACATTATCATACATAATTTTATAATATATTGATAAAAAAAATCAATACTTATTTTCAATGAAGTATAGCAAACTTTAAAGACAATATATCGTTACATTTTAAAGAAGTTATTAATTATTCTAGCACGTTTTTTTCAAATCAACAAAAATTGATATCATAATACTGAAAAATTCTACCAGTTTTTCATGTTCGTTGGATGTAAGCATTTATATTATTACGTTACTGTCTAAATCTGTAGAAACATATTATCATTCAAACGTCTGAAATTTCTTCAAAAATTTAGGAATTTTGTCAAGAATTATAAATACGTATTTCTTTGATATGAATTTTGGCTAGCCATTTATTTTTGAATTATTTTTTTTTTTTTTTCGACAATGAATAAAATGTGACTAACCAGTCCGTAGATTTGTAATAGTATCGTTCTTTGTAATAAAAGGCATTTCGCTAACGTTTCGTGTTCGTGTGTGTCTTAGAAAATTTTGTCAAATGTTTGTCCGAAATTAAACCCAACCTTTCTCCAACATGATATGAAATTTGATCAACTGAATTCAAAACATTTGCATTCGACAGTTCAATCAAAATTACATGAAATTTGACTAACCTTTCATACTCGTATGGAAAATTGGGAGACATGATATATTGTCTTTCTGTAGATGCTGTTAGATTACTGCTGCCATCGCAAGCTGGTTGAAGATCTATCAAGAATAGTCAATAACAAACTTATTACCCGCATATGAAGTCAGTATTACATTTATTTACATAATATACTGTTAATACCGTTTAGTTGTTCAAAGAAATTTCCTTTTTACGTATTCACGTATCTCGTTTTTATTACATTTATTTAATTTTATCCCTGAAATATATAGCTATATCATACGGAAGCGTCCTGGTGCCAATTCATAATGTTCTATAAAAATAAACTCCTACGTAGGAGATAAAAAAGCCTAATTAGGAGTTTGTAACTCCTACGTAGGACTTTTAAACTCCTACGTAGGACTTAATAACTCCTACGTAGTCCTACGTAGGACTTTCTAACTCCTACGTAGGACTTTATAACTCCTACGTAGGAGATAAAAAAAAGCCTAATTAGGAGTTTAGGAGTTTGTAACTCCTACGTAGGACTTTTAAACTCCTACGTAGGAGATAAAAACGCCTAATTAGGAGTTTATAACTCCTACGTAGGACTTTAAAACTCCTACGTAGGACTTTATAACTCCTACGTAGGAGATAAAAAAGCCTACTTAGGACTTTTTAACTCCTACGTTTGACTTTTAAACTCCTAAGTAGGACTTTATAACTCCTACGTAGGATACATATCAAAGTACTGAAAGCACAGAGTTCGACGGACATGTATGCTAGAGTATAACTTAAGATAGCATATTATGTAGGAAAATAAATTATATGAGCCGCGCCATGACAAAACCAACATAGTGCATTTGCGACCAGCATGGATCCAGACCAGCCTGCGCTTCCACACAGTCTGATCAGAATCAATGTTGTTCGCTTACAAACCTTATTACAAGTAGAGAAACTCATAGCGAATAGCATGGATCCTGATCAGACTGCGCGGATGCGCAGGCTGGTCTGGATCCATGCTGGTCGCAAACCCACTATGTTGGTTTTGTCATGGCGCGGCTCATATGTGTCAAATTGTTATTGTGGCAAGCCGCTTTAGTAAATACCTTTAGTCTGTAGCCCGAGATGATTTTGTCATTCCTGCATATATTAAACGATGATTCTGTATTATGTACGTTAAGTTATAATTATTATACACATGTACACAAAATGTATGGGTTAAACTTTGTTCAAAGTAGGATATACAATGTAATTCATTATTAAACATATGCATGCATAATGCTCCGCAAACCGTTATCTTCTTTAACTTTACGGGGCAGGAACAATACACTTCACTACTCCTCCTGCCGCAGTCTGATCAGGATCCATGCTATTCGCTATCAGTTTCTCTACTTGTAATAGGGTTTGTAAGCGAACAGCATTGATTCTGATCAGACTGAGCGGATGCGCAGACTGGTCTGGATCCATGCTGGTCGCAAATGCACTATGTTGGTTTTGTCATGGCGCGGCTCATATAATTTATTTTCCTACATAAGGATTTATTCATTTGAAAAGGCCGAAAATGGGTAAATTGCTCGTTTTGTTCAGCTAGTTCGTATGGAAAACGTAATCGTTAAAGCGTTTTAAAATTTTTATATATATGCTTGTTGTCGAGTAAGTTTTTTTCGAATACCTGTAAAGCAATTTTTCGGGATACATCGCCAATGCTTACAGACACCTCACCCTAAGACACTGTACACTCTAGAAACCTGAGACACTTTAAAAGGTGAAGTGTGATGGCATGGCCGTGTGACTAGTAGCCTAATGATCGCTAGCTGCATGGGTGCAAACCCCGTTAGGCGCAAGCCGTTGTTTCCTTGAGCAAGAAACTTTACACTCATTGCTAAGTACGTACTGGTTGGTTCCAGGAATGGATTCGAAAGTGTATCTTTAAGCTTATAGCTTCCTACACAATCAAACTTAAATAAATTCTGTATGAACCAAAGACCAAAGGTGAAATGTCCTCTATATTTAAGATTTGAAATTTCTGCCGGGGGGGGGGGGGGGGTTTAAGTGTCTTGTTCCTTCGCCGATATACCGGTCCGAATGTTGAGATTTGCAAAGCATTTTGTATGCATTTCTTATAAAGTCCTACGTAGGAGATACGAACTCCTAATTAGGATTTTTTATCTCCTACGTAGGAGTTTTAAAGTCCTACGTAGGAGTTAAAAAGTCCTACGTAGGAGTTATAAAGTCCAAGTAGGACTTATAAAGTCCTACGAACGAGATATAAAGTCCTACGTAGGAGTTTTAAAGTCCTACGTAGGAGTCATAAACTCCTAATTAGGCTTTTTTATCTCCTAGGTAGGAGTTATAAAGTCCTACGTAGGAGTTTAAAAGTCCTACGTAGGAGTTACAAACTTCTAATTAGGTTTTTTTATCCCTTACGTAGGAGATTATTTCTTTATGGAGCATTATGAATTGAAACCAGGGCGCTTCCGTAATATCAGTCAAATATACATCCATCATAATATTTTGTGTTCAATATGAAAAAGTGGGCGGAGTCAAAACTCGACTACTTTTCCAGATGATATTCTGTGGCAGTCAGAAACTTCAGATATTCATTTCATTATCAGACATTATGTGGTTATGTTTTTCTCAAACAAGATGGCAGAGGTAATTGTATATTGAACCGCGTCAAGCATAAAAAACAATGTATTATTTGATTACTGCCCGTTGAACATTTTCAGCTACATAGCAAATTGAACTTTCCGCATACAACTCTTATTCTTTGCTTATTTTATTGAAGGTATGACTAAATAAAAAAGGGTTATTTTTCTTGCTTAATTTTTTGTGAAAATATGGGAAATATTTTCACTTTGTACGATAAAATTCAATAGATTTAAATAAATGGTAAAAATGGAAT